ATCCACTGTCACAGTGGGTGGGTGCACCCCTCGTGGACCTGACTTCCTTGCTCATGTTCTCCCTCCTTCTGCTCCTCATTTGAGTCTTAAGAGCTTAGTCCGGTGCTCCAATTTGGGTCTCTGTCTCTAGCTCGATCCATCGCCAGATGAAGGTTCTAAGGTGATATGTAAGATATTCATCAGTATAGCTATAGGATAGGGTCATTTCAGATTCCCTCTGCTCAGTTGCTCAAGGTACTAGCTGGGGACATCTCCCTGGGCACCTGCGAGCCCCTCTAGAGTCAAGTCTCTTGCCAACCCTAAGATGGCTCCCTTAATTAGGATATATATTTCTCTGCTCCCGTGTCCACCCTTCCTTTATCCCAACCATCCCATTCCCCCAAGCTCCCCACAATACCCAAGAAAACCAAGAGAAACAAGAAAAAGCAATCAAACAGGTAAGGGAAGCGGTTCAAGACTTAAAGAATGAAATGGAAGTAATGAAGAAAACACAAACCGAGGGAAGGATGGAGATGGAAAATCTGGGTAAACGAACAAGAACTACAGAGACAAGTACTACCAACAGATTACAAGAGATAGAAGAAAGAATGTTTTTTAATTTTGAAGACAGGATTTCTCTGTGTAATAGTTCTGGCGGTCCTGGAACTCACTTGTAGACCAAGTTGGCCTTGGACTCACTGATATCCACCCGCCTCTGCCTCCCAAGTGCTGGAATTATAGGCGTGCACTACCTCCCCTGGTTTGAGTTCTCTATATATTTTGTAGCTCAACACTGTCAGATGTGAAGTTGTGAAGATCTTCTCGTTCTGTTAGCTGCTGCTTTGTCTTATTGGCTGTGTCCTTTGCCTTACAGAAGCTTCAGGAGGTCTCATTTAATTGCTGCTCTCGATGTCTGTGGTACTGGTGTTCTATTTAGAAAGTGGTCTCCTGTGCGTTCAAGGCCTCTTCCAACTTTCTCATCTATCAGATTCAGTGTAACTGGATTTATGTTGTGATCTTTGATGCATTTGGACTTGCGTTTTGTGCATGGGGATAGATATGGGTCCATTTGAATTCTTCTATATGTTGACATCCAGTTATGCCAGGTGGTGCACACCTTTAATCACTACTTAGGAGGCAGATCTCCAAGTTCAAGGCCAGCCAGTTCTACAGAATGAGTTCCATGACTACCAGGGCACAGAAACCCTATCTTGGAAAATATATAGATGCCAACTGGACTTGGTAAGTAGCCCAGGTTGGCCTCCAATCTGGTCCTTGTACCCCACCCTCCCAGTGGTCACCATGAAGAAAAGGACAGAGAGGAAAAACAAGGAAAGAGATACCTTGATTGAGGGAGCCACTATGGGGCTAGCAAGAAACCTGGCATTAAATTCCCAGGAATCCACGAGAATAAACCCAGTTAAGACCCTAAGCAACTATGGAGATGCCTGAAATTGCCTTGCCCTATAGTCAGATGGAGAACCTTCATCCAGCAACTGATGGACGCAGATTCAGAAATCTACAGCAGAGCACTGGGCTGAGCTCAGAGTCCAGTCAAAGAGAGGAAGGAGAGATAATATGAGCAAAGGGGTCAAGACCATGATGGAGATGCCCAATGAAACAGCTACTTGAGCTAATGGGAGCTCACTGCCTCTGGTCAGTAGGGGAACCAGCATAGATCCAAACTAGGCCCTCTGAATGTGGTGACAGTTGTATGACTGGGGCAGACTGCAGGGCCACCAACAGTGAGACCAGGATTTATCCCTAGTGCTTGAATGATGGAAGAGGGTCATCTGTCCATGTATTACTTTCATTGGTTAATAAAAAAAACTGCCTTGACCCTTTGATAGGACAGAAAATTAGATAGGCAGAGTAGACAGAACAGAATGCTAGGAGGAAGAAGGCAGTGAGTTAGATGGATGCAGGTTAAGATCCTTCCCAGTAAGCCACCACCTTGTGGTGCTACACAGATTATTAGAAATGGGTTAATCAAAATGTGAGAATTAGCCAGTAAGAGGCTAGAGCTAATGGGTCAAGCAGTGTTTAAAAGAATACAGTTTCCGTGTAATTATTTCGGGTGTAAAGCTAGCAGGGTGGCGGGACATAGCCCGCTGTTCCTTCTACACTTGAACTGTCTTTTTGGATCCCATTCTCTTTGGATGGATACCTTGCTCAGCATAGATATAGTACGGAGGGCCTTGGTCCTGCCTCAAAGCAATGTGCTAGACTTTGGTGACTTCCCATGAGAAGCCTTACCCTTTCTGAGTGGATGGGGGTGGGGTACAGAGGAAGGTTGAGGAAGCAGAAGGAGGGGAGGGATTGGGAACTGGAATTGGTATGTAAGATGAGAAAAAGAGTTTTTTAAAAAATAATTAAAGAAAAAAGTCTCTGTGGTCATTGTGTCTCTTCACAGCAATAAAAACCCTGAGACAGCCACCAAGCTCAGCAACTTTTATTTTTAATTGTATTATGTGTACATGATTGCAGCTGCTGTCAGAAGAGAGTGTCAGGTCCCCTGGAGCTGGAGTTACAGATGTCTGTGAGCCACCATGTGGATGCTGAGGACCAAAGCCAGGTCCTTTGCAAGAGCAGCTAGTGGTCTTAACCTCAGAGCCATCCCCAAGCCCTCAGCATAGAATTTTTTCCTGTTTGGTTTTTTTAAGCCAGGGTTTCTCTCTGTAGCCCTGGTTGTCCTGGAACTCACTCTGTAGACCAGGTTGGCCTCAAACTCAGAGATCCATCTACCTCTGCTCCCCAAGGGCTGGGACTGAAGGTGTGCACCACCACCTCTTACTTCAACAGAGCAGACTTAAAGAATTATCTAGATCAAGGTAATAGATGGCCTTGGTGGTTCACTGCCCAGCGCCCTGTGGGCAGCACTCCCCAGACAGTCAGCTATGGTACCTGAGAGGGGGCATGAGCTCGAGGAAATGCCAGATGGAAAGAAACTGCGACCAAAAACACAGGCTAGATTTGGGAGGCCTACTGGTAAATAACAGCTAGTTTTAGAACTTATTTTTATACAGATTAAAGGCAGACAGCGGAACAACGAGCAGTGGTCAGCTAAGCACCTCCCTGCGCTGTCCCTGCGAGAAGGCACAGCACTCGCTGTCTATCACGGGAGCTGCACTAGCAGCAAGCGATTTCTTTTTTCTATAAAATAAAATCTAAAAATAAGAGCCTCCACAATAGGCAGGGGCCTGAACTGTGTAAAAGTGAAGAGAACTAGCCCAGGATCAGCTAGCCAGCAGTATGGACCGTGTGTCTTCTCTGTCCACGGTGGCAGCAAGGTGCAACCAGGCTGGAACCTCCAATAGCAGCCATCACAGCCTTCCCCTCGGCGTGCTTCTCCCCAGCAGCAAGCAAGCTAAGACACTTCCTCTTGGCTTGTCTCCCAAGCCTGGAGATGCAGTGGAATGTTCTAGAGTAACTTCTGTTCCACACACACACTCATTTCCACCCACCTGGGGAGCTCACCACCTGTCCAGCCGAAAGGATCAAGGTTTACCCATCCCTGGAGAGGGAAATGTAGAAATGCGTACACATGCATGTGCATACACACGCGTGCATGTGCACACACACACTCTGAAGTGAGAGCTGAGGCTGTCAGACAACATACACACACACTCTGAAATGAGAGTTGGGAATATCCGAACACACACACACATGCACACACACACTCTGAAATGAGAGTTGGTTGTCAGATAGAACACATACACACAAGCACACACACACACACACGCTGAAGTGAGAGCTGGGGCTGTCAGACACTGCTGCAGGGCACATCCTCAGTCCTGAGGTTACAGCTGCCAATGCCCCCATCCAGGAAGACAAGCAAGGCGCTGCAGCAGCTGCACCCCAGATCTTGGCACCCCAGGCCAAGCAGCCACCTCTCAAAGTGTGCTCCTTCTGCTGGGCATCTAAACTCCTGGCCAGGGTAGCTCTGACTTCACAGGAAGCTCCAGACATAAAAAGACAAGGTCCCCTGGGGACTGTCCCCAAATGCAGGTGAAACAACGAGGCAGGAGAGGGAGACAGCACCACAAGCTGCATGGGACAGCAACATGACAGGCTGGGCCCGCACTCCCAGCATGGAGACAGTGCAGCAGCTGTGAGCAACCTGAAGGTGACTATAAACACACTGCATACCGAACTGGCTTTGAACTCCTGACCTGCTGGCAGGATTCTACAACCCTTCTCTGCTAGCTCAAGGTATCCAAAACCTTTTCTAAGGAAGGCAATGAGCAGAAATGGCCAGCCCCTTGTCTAAGGACACTAAACCACAAGTCCGTTGTACTGAGACCGAGTTCCACTGTGCAACTTAGGCTGGCCAGGCACACACTTATCATGATATCTATTATTCCTTTAAAACGGCGGGGTGGGTGTGTGGACAAACACAGGATAGACGAGACACGCGCAAAAGGAAGAGACGAGACACGCGGCTCCCACGTGGGTGCGCTTTAATGGGAAAGGGAAACACGATAAGGGATGGGGTGTGCGAGACACACGAGGGGCCAGAGGGGGGTGAGAGAGAGAGGAGAGAGCGAGACCTCGTGGAGGCTCGCTTTTAACGGGGGGCGCAAGGTTATCTGGGAGACNGGGGGGGGGTGCAAGGTTATCTGGGAGACCCGCACCTGGGCACGCCCACGCGCACAGGTGTCGGTAATCCAGGAGGGGTCTGGGAGCTGTAGTTTCCAAGGAATAACAATATCCCTCGTTCCTTCCCTCTTCCCCCGTCCCATCCCCTGCACCTCCAAAACCTCCTGCAGGCTAGGCCAGCACCCAGACATCTCAGGCCCTCATGGCTCTAAACCCTTGCGAATGACTGAGTCTCCTTTTGCCAGCTCCATGGTGACGTTAAGAATTTGTGCTGGGGTGGGGAGATGGCTCAGTGGTTAAGTTCTTCCAGGGGACCAGGGTTCAATTCCCAGCACCCACATGGTAGCTCACAACTGTAACTCCAGTTCCAGGAACTCTGACACCCTCATATGACATACATGAAGACAAAAACACAGTGCACATGAAATAAAAATAAATAATCTAAAAGAATTTGTGCTGGAGCCAGGCAGTGGCACACGCCTTTAATAACAGCACTCCAGAGGCAGAGGCAGACGGATCCCTGTGAGTTTAAGGCCTGTCTGGGCTACAGAGAGGGTTCCAGAACAGCCAGGACAACACAGGGAAATCCTATCTCAAAAAAAGCAAAAGAAAAACAAACAAACAAACAAAAAGTATTTGAGCTGGGAACCTGGTTTCTTGGCCACAACCAGCCCTCAGCTAGCATCTGAGTGAAACAGAAGGCCGCCATTTCGAAGCAGCAGCCAGCTGCATGGAGAGCCTGGGGGCGTGGCACCCAGAAGGCATGGCCCTCAAATGTCTCAATCTATGTCCAAGTAAAGGGGGCGGCCACAGTTCCACAGTTTCCAGGTGAGTATGGTTCCTAGGCTACAAGCCTTGCTGTGGCTTGCTTTAAGCGGGTGTGACTTATGGTGGGCGTGGTCTCTGCCTGGGCAGGGCTGTCAGCTGGGCGATCTGGAGGACTGTTCTTCCTCAGTGGCGCTTCCAGGTGGTGTGACCCAAGACAGGTGGGCAACCTTCTGGTGGAAGAGGGCAGAGTTTCCCTTGTATCCTGACAGGGGAGACGCCCAGCACCCTACAACACACACAACGTCCCCACAGCAGCTACGCAACCCCAAGCGGTCCACAGAGCCAAGGTTGAGAAGTCCTACCTCAGGCATACTGTAGGCACTTAATGGGTGTTAACCGAGTGAATGAATACCTGGTGAGGTTCCAGCAGGGTGGCGGGTCATCCTAGAGATCCATCTGGGAGGGGCTGAAGGGTAGACAGCAGGAGGGACTTCCCTGTGTGCCTGCAGATCCTGCTGCGGGCGTTCCTGAAACTCTTGCAGGAAGGCAGCCACTTGGTGATGGAGAAGGGTGAGGACTGGAGAGGCAGGCCACAGCCTCAGGCTGCCTGGATGCTTAGAGGGCAAGAGGCTAGACACAGCACAGGGCTGCGGAGGGGTAGGGCATTCCTAGGAACACTATAGGCACGCACACACACACACACACACGCCCTCCCCCCACATACACACATACTCCACTCCCAGTCAGTCTGAGCTCTGCAGCCTTGCTTGACCCTAGATGTGCTCCCAAGAGCATATTTGGGCCCTAGAGTGTGGACACCCACAGGGGAAGGATCGCCCCACTAAACACACTCAGAGGCCTCCAACCAAATACAAATGTATGCCAGTTTCTAGTCTCCAGGCTGGTCTCCAACTAGCAACCCTCTTGCCCCATCCTCATGAGGTTGTGGTGGTAGGCCACCACTAACACATCTGGCCTGAAAGCAGAATGTTCTAGAGGCCCCTCTGCCCCTCGGCTGGTTTGCCCCGCACACACAATGGGAGCTCACTACCTATCCAGGAGCACCTAGATGCAGCATGACACACACTTCAGCACACACGTACACACTTGCACACACACACACTCTGAAGCCAGAGCTGAGGACACTCAGCACTCAGCCTCGGGCCTGGATGTCCTGTGGCCTCAGCTCTCGTTCCCCCTCAGCCAGGAAAACTAGCAGAGCACGGTGCAGCAGATACACCCCCAAGCGCCGCCGCTTCGTGGGTGGCCAGTGGGCAGCCTCTCCATAGTAGTGGCCCTGTTTCTGGTTGGTCAGTGTCTGGATACCTGGACAGATCAGAGGCAAAGTCATGGCGTGGCCTCCACCCACCCCTCCACCACAACAAGCGGCACAGACTATATTTCGACAGGCGTGTTCTAGGTATACAGATGGCGCTCAGTAACTGCCCACCATGGGAATGAACATGAACAGTGAGGGAATTCAGAGCTCACTTTCCCTGAGACCTCAGCCCTAGAAGCCAGACCCTTACCTAGGGCCTCCAACAGGCATGCCTCCCGCGTGTACGCCTCCATGGCGGCCGTGTGCTGGAAGCAGTGTAGGGAAAGGACACCGCGGCCGCTGGCCCAGATGTCTAAGATCCGGCGTACCTTGGGACAGGCCTGGGGGGTGGAATCAGGAGTCGGGTCCTAAGCCTTCTGCCCTCCAATTGTCTGAAGGCTGGCAGGCCTGACCACTCCTACCCCTTGTCCTCACCTTTTCCCCTGGGCGTTCACGGTAGCCAAGGGCTTCCCAGAGGTGGGCATCCGGCCGGGCACGGGTCCCCTTGCCCACGTAGAAGATGGCTCCCACGAAACATTGCAGACACTCAACCAGTGTGAGGGAGGAGGCTCGGGCAGGCAGTCCCTGCGTCTGCCTGGGTACAGAATGGTGCAGAAGGTGAAGGAGCTGCCAACCCTGACGACCCACACGAAGGAGGAGAAACCCAGTTCCCAGAAGTTACCCACTGACCTCCACATGTGCACACACAGACACATGCACAGAAAATAAAATGTGTAAAAAAAAGGGTGGTGGGGGTGGAAGGATGTCTCAGAGAGGGAAAATGACCGCTGTCCCCAGAGCCATGGGCCCTTTTGAATCCACATCCAGGGGCCCCTAAGTTATAAGCCATGAAATGGGTACTCACAGCCGGAACTGACTCGATTAACAGAGAAGGCTAGTCCCTTCCCTAGGGACACACAGCAAATCAAAAATAAATAAATCCCCACCAACGTGTGTGTGTGTGTGTGTGTGTGTGTGTGTGTGTGTGTACAGAATCTCCATGTTACAACCCAGACCTCGTGCTCACAGTCCCCCCACCTTGGGATGCAGAAGCCACCAGCAAGGGACAATCCAACCCTTCCCCACCTCTGTCAGGGCGGACCCAGCTTTACCGTCACCATCATACCTGGGGTCAAGAAGAAGATATGTAAAGCTGGACTTGGTAACGCCTCCCCGCCATCTCTTCGTGGGATCCGGCCGTTGAAAGTGCTGAGCCAGGGCGGCCTCATCTGCCTGGCAGTCGGGAATGCGGCCTGTTCTCAGCACTTCCGCCAGTTCTGGGCTGTGCCCTGGAACAGTTGGGAAGGGGAAACCGAGCCAGAGCTGAGGAGGACAGCCGGTGAGGGCGGTGGGGCTAACAGGCAGGTCTCAGGATTCCACACCGCCACGGGACTCCCAGTCCTGCCAAGGGACTCACCCGGGCTAGCCTGGGCTTCCTGCAGCCGCCGCAAGTAGTGTCCACGGGTGAAAGGGGTGACCGGGCCAGGACTGTGGCCCAGCGCCCGCAAGGCCTGGAGCAGCTGCAGGTCGGACATGGGGGGCACCGAGCAGTGTGGATGCAAGGCCCCCGAGTCCCCGTCACTGGGCAGGGATGGGACATTGGTGGCCCCTGTGGTCAACGTCAGGGCCTGCAGCTGGCAGCTCAGTACCCCATCCCCAGCTGCCTCAGCCCCACCAGATGGCCACAGGCTGGCTGTGGACCCCAGTGTCCCCGCAGGGCGCTGGGGCTGCAGAGAGTCCTCCGATGCAGTGACAAAGGAGGCGTCACTGCTGCAGTCCTCACTCCCAGTGGCCTCGGGACTCCCGGGCTCCACCGCCACCTCACGAGCAGCTGCCAGCTCAGCTCTGCGCATGAGCTGCTCTGAGTCCGGTGACAAACAAGGAGGTATAAAGATGCCAGGAGACCTCATAAAGACACGTCCTCGACCCATGGTGGATTCAAGACCAGCCAGAGCTACAGGTAACTTCTCTAAATATAGATAAACATATATAAATATATAGATAGATGATAACTAAGCAGACAGATAAACATATAAATAGATGATATAGACAAGATAGATGACAGATAAAAGTTAGGTGATAAGATGATTGACACATGATGGATAGTGATCGACAGAATGGGCAGATGGAACTGACTCCCAGAAGTGAGGCAGCGCAGTGACAGGTTCCTTGCACCCCCTGGGCTCTGCTCACCAGCTGACTCCAGGGTCTCCTTCCGTGTCCGGGTGGGCGTGTCCAGCTCCCGCAGAAGGCGTGCGCAGTCACGGTGTCCCTGCTGCAGAGCCCAGTCCAGTGGCCGGAGCCCGTCCTGCATAGACACGGTCAGCTCAGCAGGGGGCGCCCACGGCCCTCCCTCCTCCACCACCCCCACCCCGCCCCGCGCGCTGCGTGAGATCCTGACCTGGTCTCGCAGCGTAGGGTCGCCCCCACGGCTCAGCAGCAGCTCCAGGGCGCCACGACAGCCCCACACGGCGGCCACGTGCACGGGTGTCAGCGCCTCAGTGGACCTGGGACCCCGGGAGAGAGGAGGAGTTTCCTTTTCCCAGCAGCCTCGAACTCTTTTGCTCCTTCTGCCTCAGCCCCCTGTGCCCACTACCAATGGGGGTGAGGGGAAAGTTGATATTCTAACTCACGGTCATCCTCCTGCCTCACCCTCTGAGTGCCAGAATGACCTCGTCCCGACCTCGGGAGCAGACACCTCCTAGACCAGACGCCTGGGACCCGGGAGCCTGATGGCCAGCGCCGCCGGGTCCCCAAGCCACACCCACCGCACCAGGGTGACCCGGACGGCGCCTCACCGAGCATTGGGGTCGGCGCCCCGGCGCAGCAGGATCCGGAGGCAATGCAGGGCGCGCGGATGGCGAGCTCGGGCCGCCAGGTGCACCACCGCCACGCCATCCTCCAGCACCAGACTGGGGTCCGCCCCGAGGTGCAGCAGCTCCTCCATAGCCCTGCGGGGGACGGTGACAGTGGACATCAGCCCTTTGGCCGCCCGAGGAGCAGAAGGCAAGGGAGGACCAGCGTCCCGCGCTCACCGCGGATCTTCCTCGCGCAGTGCGACCAACAGTTGCCGGGCAGCGTCGGCCATGTCCCAGCGGTGTCACGGCCCTCGGATTCAAATTCGCGCGCGACCTCTGCGCACGCGCAGCCCCGCCCCCCGGCTCCCCAGCCCTGCCTCTGGGAACGCCCTGGTTGGACCAGCGTCGCCCCGAGACGCTGATGGAGACAGGGTGTGTCCTGAACCGTCAAACCGCAGGGACAGGAGAGGGGGGCGGTGCGCTCAGCTGGGGTCCCATTCCAGGATTTGGAAAGCTGAGCCAGGAAGATTACCGCGAATTCCAGGAGAGCTTGGGATAAAGAGCAGAACCTCTCTTTGTCTTTAACAAAACAAACTACTAGGTATCTTACACTTAGCCCAAGCTGTCTAGGAACTCAGCGCCATCCTCCTGCCTCAGTCTGCGAGTGCTGGGATCTGCCTCCTGAGGAACAGCGTCGTGCACTTTCAATCCGGCAGAGCTGGCTGTCACTGTCGCTTTGTGAGGAAGGTCTTCGTCAGGGCCTGGAGATAGCTCAGCGGATAAGGGTGCTTGCTGCCAAGCTTCAGGACCTGAGTTTGATCCCAACCCCAGAACGCATCATTGGAAAGAGAACAGACTAACATCCACGTATGTGCCTTGGCTGTGGGCCTGGACAAGCGTGCGTGCGCGCACAAACAAATTAAATAAAAATTTTCTAAAGAGCTGCATTTTCCTTATTTGCAAATGTAAGACAGGACTCGACACTAAGTGGCCAATAAATGAAGAGGCCAGAAAACATTTAAGCAAGCTGACCTACTTTTTAAAATTAAGTGTGTGGGTATTTTGCCTGCATGCCAGTCTGTGTACCATGTGTGCCTGGTGTCCATGGAGACCAGAAGCGGCATCGGATCGCCCAGAACATAAGTTGTGAGCCCAAACGTGGAAATCGAACCCAGGTTCTCTACACGCACAACCAGTGCTCTGAACAGCTGAGTCATCACCAGGTCCGGTCTATTTCTGTTCGTAATCCTTTTGAATCAAGGCTTCTCGATGTGGCCACTGCTGACCTAAAACTGGCCATCCTCCCGCCTCTGTCTCCCACATCAAAGTGAGCCCGACTCACACCCACTGCCATTTTGATTTCTATCAACTGAGGAGGTGGAATGGATGAACCTCGGTGGCCTGACCTGGGAAGGCGGGAGCGACTCCAGGTTTGCCTTCCTCTTCTGGGGCGCCCACCAAATGTCCCCATCCTAGACCCCTGGGTGGTGATCGCTCATGGTGAGGCCACACAGGTCCAAACAGTACTGCAGCCCAGTTGGGGTGCTGGGGTAATAGATGTCACCCCAACCCACTTCCCACTTGGAGCTGGGACCCTTGGGTGTCCAGGAGGACCCAAAAAGTAAACACTTCCTGTGGGAGCCACGCTAGTCTTGCGTGCAATAGATCACCCCTGTCTCTGGAGGAAAGGACGTCTGGGGTGGGTTCTGTAGGGTGAAGAGGAGTCTGCAAAGTGCAGTTAACACCAGTACAAGGGAGCGAACAGCCCAGGTCACAATGGCATCAGGACACTGAGATGGATCCGGCCAAGCCAGAAGCCATGCCAGCCTGTTCAGTTCAGCTCCTGTTTTCTGTCTCAGTGAACCTAAAATGACCAGAAAGCAGGCTCAGAAGCCTCAGATTTTTATTCTGGTGACAAACTGGTCCCAGGAAGAATTTGCAGCAGACACAGTAGGAGTGGGCGTGGGTGCACCGGGCTCCTGAACAGTGCAGAAATGCCACGGGTCACACGGTGGCTTCACCCT